GGAACAGGATAGAAAGCCCAGAGATAAACCCACGCACATATGGTCACCTTATCTTTGACAAAGGAGGCAGGAATGTACAGTGGAGAAAGGACACCCTCTTCAATAAGTGGTGCTGGGAAAACTGGACAGGTACATGTAAAACTATGAGATTAGATCATTCCCTAACACCATACACAAAAATAAGCTCAAAATGGATTAAAGACCTAAATGTAAGGCCAGAAACTATCAAACTCTTGAGGAAAACATAGGCAGAACACTCTATGACATAAATCACAGCAAGATCCTTTTTGACCCACCTCCTAGAGAAATGGAAATAAAAACAAAAATAAACAAATGGGACCTAATGAAACTTCAAAGCTTTTGCACAGCAAAGGAAACCATAAACAAGACCAAAAGACAACCCTCAGAATGGGAGAAAATATTTGCAAATGAAGCAACTGACAAAGGATTAATCTCCAAAATGTATAAGCAGCTCATGCAGCTCAATAACAAAAAAACAAACAGCCCAATCCAAAAGTGGGCAGAAGACCTAAATAGACATTTCTCCAAAGAAGATATACAGAGTGCCAACAAACACATGAAAGAATGCTCAACATCACTAATCATTAGAGACATGCAAATCAAAACTACTATGAGCTATCATCTCACACCAGTCAGAATGGCCATCATCAAAAAATCTAGAAACAGTAAATGCTGAAGAGGGTGTGGAGAAAAGGGAACCCTCTTGCACTGTTGGTGGGAATGTAAATTGATACAGCCACTGTGGAGAACAGTATGAAGGTTCCTTAAAAAAGTACAAATAGAACTACCATATGACCCAGCAATCCCATTACTGGGCATATACCCTGAGAAAACCATAATTCAAAAAGAGTCATGCGCCAAAATATTCATTGCAGCTCTATTTACAATAGCCTGGAGATAGAAACAACCTAAGTGTCCATCGTTGGATGAATGGATAAAGACGATGTGGCACATATATACAATGGAATATTACTCAGCCATAAAAAGAAACGAAATTGAGCTATTTGTAATGAGGTGGATAGACCTAGAGTCTGTCATACAGAGTGAAGTAAGTCAGAAAGAGAAAGACAAATACCGTATGCTAACACATATATATATATGGAATTTAAGAAGAAAAAATGTCATGAAGAACCTAGGGGTAAAACAGGAATAAAGACACAGACCTACCAGAGAATGGACTTGAGGATATGAGGAGGGGGAAGGGTAAGCTGTGACAAAGCGAGATAGAGGCATGGACATATATACACTACCAAACGTAAGGTAGATAGCTAGTGGGAAGCAGCCGTATAGCACAGGGGGATCAGCTCGGTGCTTTGTGACCGCCTGGAGGGGTGGGATAGGGAGGGTGGGAGGGAGTGAGACGCAAGAGGGAAGAGATATGGGAACATATGTATATGTATAACCGATTCACTTTGTTATAAAGCAGAAACTAACACACCATTGTAAAGCAATTATACTCCAATAAAGATGTTAAAAAAAAAAAAAAGGGATATGTCCAAAGAATATGGAACTAGGCTGGACATTTGCTAAGCTGCCACTTCTCTCTATTACCTTATGGTTATGTCCTTGCTATTTTTTAAATGACAATATATGGGCTTAACACAACATAAAAATGTATAAATCTAAAAAGGCACTCCTCTCCCCATCACTGTCAGGTCTCGATAGCACGTCTCAAAGGGAACTACTGTGAACAGCTCAGTTCTTTAATCTATGGTTCTCTTTACACACACACACACACACACACATCCAGTGGCACACAGTCATACACAGTGCTTGCCTTCTTGCTTTTACAGAAAAAAAGGGACTCCTCTGAGTATAATTCTGCAATTGACTTTCTGGGTTTGTGTTGTCTTGTCATGTCCTTTCCCTTCCATGATGGCTCTCCTTTAGCAGAGGCATACATGATCCACATTCCTTTTTAATGCGGTTAATATGGCTAATATTTATTAGGTGAATTTGTTTAATCATCTATTCTTGCTGGTCTTTCAGGTATTTTTAGTTATTTTTTTTTAAGGCTGCTGTAAATGTCAATAATAAGACAAAAAAATGTGTATGTGACATTTTCTTGTTCAGAGTTCCCATCACTCTTGCTTATAGCTTGGTACTTTTAAAAAAATATAAAATGTAGACATTAAGAGGAGCGATTAATTCAAGGGTGAAGAAAGGGGGTTGTATAGGAGGGTTTTTTTATGATATCTTGGGCAGTGATCAGGCAAGTGAAGTAGAAGGAAATTTAACTGCAACTCTCGCCCAGTGGGGGTAATAGTTTTCCCTTTGCTCGGATTTATCCGTAGATATTGCGTTGTAAGTAACAGATGGCCTATGATGCTTTGGATTTATTTTATGGTTTTCAAAGGTTAGAAAGAATCAGACATCCCAGCCTGCTTCTCTGCTGGACATGAAAGATGTTACAATCTTTCCGTGGTCCCAAGTGAGGGCCACCTGACCTTGGGTCCCTCTGAAAGTCCTAGAGGGATCTCTCTGTCCTTAGGAGAGGGCCAGTTTGCCTTTCTGTCTATGTTCATTTGGGAAAATATGCTCTTTTTATTAATCCAGACACGGTACTCAAGCAAATGGAATGAGCAAAAAGGGACCACCACGTCCATTACGGTCAGAATCTTCTGTGTATGTAGATAAGATAAATGGATTACACTATCCCCATGTGTACATTCAATGTTCATTTTTCATATAAACAGTCCTATTTAATAAGTAATGGCACCTTAGTCCATTAAGTTTCATGGCTAATACATCCCTCCTCCCTCTGAATCTTGTTTAAAGAAAAATATTTTGTTGGGTAATGTGCAAGCTGTACCTTGGGGTAGCAATTTATAGGCCTCTCTTATCAGAAATTGCTTCCAATACCTCATCTCCATGTTTCAAATTCTGCAGGCAACAATCTCCCTAAACCTTACTGGTGGCGCTCCTCGGCAGATTACTGCAATCGACGATGGGGGGAGGACCAGGTAAAAAGTGCATACGGGCAAAATAGAGGAAAACCAAATAGAAACAAAATGACTATCCATTTGGATAAGGTTTCTTATTACATAGAATTTTACATAAAATTTAACAAATTAACTAGCATATGTAGAGCCAGATTTTGGTTATTAATATAATAATTCCTAGAATATTGGCTAGAACTGTCATTTTTAAATAAATATTTTACACAGATGTTATGTAACTTTCTTTGGATTTTCTATTCCTTCTGTCTTTATTCCTGGAAACCACTTTTATGTGGCTGTGTCTAGCTCATCAATTAGTTATTAGTCAGAGTCACTTCCTTATGTTAGAACAGACAGTTCTGAGCCAACTGGCAAATTTAAAATATGCACTGTATTTTACATTCTAGTTTTGCATCAGTGTTAAATGTCCTAAATATGATACCGTTCCATGGTGATTGCTAGAATGGCATTGTTCTTAGGAGATACACACTGAGGTATTTAGGAATGAATAACATGAGTGAAGGCTCAAGATACCCAAAGCTCTTAATTGGGTAAGAACAATACAGAGATAAGTATGCGGCAAACATGGCAAAGTGTTAGCAATTGGCTAAGCGAAGTGAAGGAAATACACAGTTAATTGTACTATTTTTGCAACACTTTGTAGATTTGATGTGTTTTCAAAATGCACAGTTAAAAAAACCAAAATTACCTCCTAGAGAGGCTGTCCCACTGTGACTGAAGTTGCCCTTGGCCCAGGCCACCTATGCCATTATTAACTTCACAGAAGTTATTAACTTCACAGAACCTTAATGTAACATCGTTAGTATGTTTATTTATAACTTATCTGCCATCCTTCTGGATAGAATACACGCAGGGTCTTTATTTTAATCACCTCTGTATCCTGAACATCTAGAATGCTAAAAGATGCTCAGTGAATATTTTTCTGATAATACTTTTTGAACATCTTAATCCATGGCAAATTCATATCAATCACCCAAGATGTTTTTCCTGAGATTATTGTTCTTATAATAGTTGCCAGATTCTCGGGAAATGCAAATCTTCTGATGTGAACAAAAAGTCTAATGACCATACATTCACACATAGCTGAACCAACAAACATGGCAGAACATGGGGCCTTGTAGAACCCAACTTATTTTTCATTTCATCCACTGTTTTGGATTATTTAGTCTGTTCATCCCATTCACGGGCATCCACTGACAAAAATCAATCGTGATTGACTAAATTTCCTTTAACATAAGGGCGCATAAATAGCCAACATTTAGTATTGCTGGCAGAACCATTAGGAGACTAAGGCAGTGTCAGTAAATATCTACATGCTTTACTAAAAGTTTCAGGAAAATGACATGTAGTCACAAACATCTGTGCCCAGAACAGGCGTTTGTACAAAACACATCCTCTTTGTTCTGTCCATATTTAAAAAAGCCAACCAGCGTGTGGTTTGTCTATTCCTTTTACAGGAATTTCTGGCCAATGTCCAACTTGTTTCTTCCTGATCTTAACTGATTTTCTAGCATGAATTATACAATTGAATCCAATTTGTGTTGGATTTTAATATTTTGGGTATTTCTGGCATTCTAAACTTGCACCTTTCCTTTAGACGAGTAATATGTATTTTTCACCAAGATAAAAGCTGCAAATGACATGGCTGATGTTAGTTATCAAGTCAAGTTTATATAACACATGGGGTGCATGTTTTTATACTTTGAGGTGTTTTGACTTTTGTTGGGCAAAACAGGCATCTGGCATATCAAAAAAAAAAAACCAATTCTAATAAACTAAAAGGATCCCTCAACTTAAAAATAATGAGCTTCATGTGTGTAGCTCATTTTTTAGTTAATTGCCCTTAATTTATTCAGCTGAAATACCTTACAGTTTTCCATGGTTAAAGGGCAGCATGTTTGACTTATTGAATTAGTTTGATATTGATACAAATGAGCTATAAAGTATCTCCATGATTGCTTCCTGAATAATATAAATGTATTTTCTTCTGTTACTGGTTCAATAAAGAATGAAATATACCTGATCTTTGGGTTTTGAAGCAAATCTTCTGCAGTTTGACAATGAAGGGAAGATGGAATTAATCAGCAAGGAATGTATTTCCACAAAGAAATTAGAACTTCCATTGGTGATGAAGCTTACTTTCTGTGATGCAAAATGAATAATGGTACAGGTTTCCATTTCCATCTTAAACCTGGAAGAAATAAATCTCCATCAAAAAAAAAAAAAAAAAGAAAGAAAGAAAACCAGCTAGACAGATACCCCTCCCTAAGCCCTCTCTTGAACAGCAGTCTAATTTGTAGTAGCACATTGACTGAACCTACTGTTTGCTACAAACATGTGTATTACAAACATATATAAAAAGTCAATTTATTGTAGGATAATTTAAGAAAAGAAAAAAGAAAAATACAGGTTTGCTAGGCATTTCTCAGATAAAAATAACTTATCCTTACTACAACTTTCTCTAGGAGTCATGTTGATGTCTGTCAATGACCGTAAGAAGCATGCAGTTAAGGGTTATATAGTAACTCCCCTACATATGAACCTTCAAGTTGCGAACTTTCAGAGATGCGAACTTATTATAAACCTATTACAGTACAGTACTATATGGCTGATTGTTAGTTGGGTACCTAAGCTAACTTTGTTGGACTTAAGAACAAATTGGACGGATGCACTCTCGGAACAGAACTCGTTCGTACGTAGGGGACTTACTGTAATCTGTATGTAATACATTTTCCCCCCTGCAGCGCAAGCAAGACACATTGAAAGGAGAACAGCTGGTAGCCTCTAAATGTTGATGTGTTTTGCCCCTAAATCACTGAATGAAACGCTCCCATTTTCTTTCTTTGAATGACTTCTCCATGTTTTCTAGAAGATGAGCCATTTGAAAAACACATCTAGAATTTTAAACCTGACTACACAGATCTTTATTCTATGAAGTTTTCTCCCTTTATTTCTTACCATGTCCTTGCAACTTTTAAAATGACTGTGAATCTTTTAAATTGTGTTTCCTGGTTCTTTTAACTTGCCTTGGTGCAAGGAATCTGAGACAGAGCTGTCCAACAGAAATAAAATGTGAGTCACATATGTAATTTTATATTTTCTGGTAGCTACATTTCAAAAAGTAAAAAGAAGAAATTAATTTAATTGTATGTTTTATCTGTAACCCAAATGTATCCCCAATGTTATCATTTCAACCTGTAATCAGCATAACAATATTGTGCTCTATTTTTTCATACTAAACCTTTAAAATTGAGGTATATGTTACTTACAGCATGTACAGTGGACTGAATGTTTTTGTCCCCCTAAAATTCATATGTTGAAATCTGAACCTCCAATGTGATGATATGGGATGGGGCCTTTGAAAGGTGATTAGGTCATGAGGATAGAGACCTCACAAATGGGATTAGTGTCCTTATAAAAGGGACACCAAAGAGCTCTTTCATTCTCTTTCTGCCATGTGAGGAATATAAGGCAGCAGTTTGCAACCCAGAAGAGGGCTTTCAGTAGTCCCTGACATGCTGGCACCCTGACCTCAGCCTCCAGAACTGTGAGAAATAAATCACTGTTGTTTATAAGCCACCTAGTCTATGGCACTCTTTATAGCAGCCCAAATGTACTAAGACAGCACATCTCAACTCAAACTAGCCACATTTCAAGACTTAAAAGCCACACGTGGCTTGGGGCTGCTGGATCGGAAAGCACAGTTCTAAGAGAAATATAAAGGGTACTAGAATTGACATCAACAAGCCTGGGGGCTTGTAATTGCCCTCCATCAACTGTCTAGAGTGAGTTAACCAAGGCACTGAACCCACGGGCTATGGATTTTAAATCTTTAAAATAAACAGGTCAGGGTAGATGGTCTTAAGTGTTTATTTTAACTCTAAGACTATGATACTATCATCATAATGAAGGAACTTTTGCTTGCTGGCTTCCCTGGGGTTGCTCTGAAAAACCATTATCCATGGTTAAGTAAATAACATTCCCGCTGAGAGCCGCCATGGAGCAGCTACACAGGCTTGTCCTGCAAGGAGCAGCTAGCTTGCAAATCAGAGCCTGCAACTGAGTAGGCCTGCTCTAGGGATTCTTTTAGTAGAGGTTCATATTTGAAATTGCTGTCTTTAAATTTTGTTTTTTTACTTTTCAATAGCATCTTAATATGACGGGCGTCCTCCAAATGCATTCACAAAGGTTTCTTACTGCATCTAGTTTCAAGTGCGCTGGTTATTGACTCTTGGAGTGTCTCTGTGGGGCTCATAAAGCACATTTTTGCATCTCCCATTGTCTGTATTTTCGGTGAGACCATCCCCAAAGTATCCTCCAAATCGCAAAATGTCAGTCATTTTCGTGTGATTATGTTGGATGCAGAAACTTGATTGTACTGACATAGATCTTAAATACCTTGCATGTTCATCATATTTGGTTGGTAAGTGCATGGCATCTATTATTTCATTTAATCTACAATGAGGAAACGGAGGGTTGGAAAGATTCGATAGTTTTCTCAAGATCACCCAATTACTTCCTAATGAAGACAGAACTTGAATGGAGACTTTCTTTCTGATGGGATGCAGGAAGTTGTTAGCCCCTAGGTTCTTCTCCCTGACTGCCCTTTCTGCACAGGTAAGTCAGGTATGCAAACGGCCCAAGTACAGTTCATTCCTCCAGGTCAGTGAGTCTCAACACCGGCTGTATATGAGAATCATGGGGGGATTTTTAAACCTCCCAATGTCGTGGCCCTGCTCACGGCACCCAAACCTACTAAATCAGAGTCTCTAAGCTTCATTTGGTCTGGGGTGAGGCTCACCGTATCCTCTAATATTACAAACAAAAGTTGAAAACTATTATTTTAGTCAAAAGTAGAAATGAAAACTTAACCTAAGGAATAGATATTTCCATTTTACTCATTAGATATATAGGCCTGCACACATAAAGAGAAGTAGACAGCTAAATACATTGTGTGAATATGGGTGTGTACCAAATATCCTATCTTTTTTCTTAAAAAAAAAGTGTAAGGATGGTGTATTTTTGTCTTTTAAAATTTCAGTTTGTTTTTCTTAAGCATTTGTATAGACATAACCGACCAACTTCAGGGAACTGTTGGTGCTCCTATATTTAATTCTATTCAATTCCTACCTCTTTCCTAAGCAAGTTCTCAGCACTCACATCCCAGCCTGGATTAGCCTGAAAACCTAACTAATACACATTTTAAAGTAAATGTCTGTACATATTTTGCCATGTAACACTAAGCCCGGGAATGGGAACCCAGATTCCATTTATCTTTGCACTCATGCTTCTCGCCCTACAGTCCCCGCATGACCACTCTCCACTCCAGAATTTCGTCCGTGTTCCTGACCGAGAGAAGAGTGCATGCCTCCTCTCATCTGATTGGCCAGGTCTCAGTGACAGGCTCACTCTAGTTAAAAAGGATTCTGGGAAAAGTAGTTCTTTTAGGTAGGGCATACTGTCACCACATCCACTCCGAAAAACCAATAAGCAGACAAAAATCCCCATACCACCACCACCAACAGCAAAAACTATAGTTTTGTTGCTAAGGAAAAAAAGGGGAACTTGGATACGAGGGAGGCAACAAAGTGTATGCCATCCCCTCACTCCTGCAACCTAGAGCTCAATACAATTTGTAACTGTATATTCATTCATTTATTTATGTCTCTTTGTTTACTGTATATACATTGCCCTTTGTTTCTATAGGGTCGATGTCTGCTTTTCTCACCAGTGCCTACACTCCACCTACCATATTGTTTGGTATCTAGAAGAAACGTAAAACATCTTTGGTCACTGAAAGTTGAATGATGGGATTACAAGGTGAGAAGAAGTAAGAACAGGAGGAAGCACAATCTTTCCCTAATCTAATCTAGATCTACTCTATTTAGTTAACTTATTTTTTAAAATCAGAATATCTTTAGTGTTTTAATGCCACCACGTTTTAAAGAGTGTTTTTACTATGCTTGCTTTTTAAAAATAATTAATTAATTAATTTATTTATTTTTGGCTGTGTTGGGTCTTCGTTGCTGCGCGCAGGCTTTCTCTTGAGGCGAGCGGGGGGTTGCGGTGCGCGGGCTTCTCATTGTGGTGGCTTCTCTTGTTGCGGAGCATGGGCTCTAGGTGCACGGGCTTCAGTAGTTGTGGCTCATGGGCTCAGTAGTTGTGGCATGAGGGCTCAGTAGTTGTGGCTCGCGGACTCTAGGCGCACAGGCTTCAGTAGTTGTTGCTCACGGGCTTAGTTGCTCCACAGCATGTGGGATCTTCCCGGACCAGGGCTCGAACCCGTGTCCCCTGCATTGGCAGGCAGATGCTTAACCACTGTGCCACCAGGGAAGTCCCTATGCTTGCTTTCGATAAAAGTTTTGGCATAAATTACCAAACCTTGAATTATAAGGAAGACTAACAATGCTTTATAAAATAAATTAAAAGTAAAGGTCTATTTTCAGAGTTCATATATGATTCAGAGCATTATATTAAGAATTCCATAAAACAGCACAAAATTTAATGCAATATGTTAAACACATACACTATAATGTTATCACAGAAATGAAATTTTACATAAACCAAAAAATATTAGTCATATTGAAGGTAACTTCAAATTTGCTGATTTGGACTGTTCTAGAAACTAAGAAGTGTTGTATCAAGGTACATAACTTCATTTCACAAAAATCTAAACATCACAAAATCCTTTTTATACACCTCTGGTGATACTGAGTCAGGCTGGCTGAAACCCGCTTCACGGATCACCCCTTCCCTCTAAGCCCTAGGTTCCCCCCTCAGCTCTAATCTCTCTCTTGACCCTTTTCCCCAGATTGCAGGTCATCAGCTAATGCCTTAGCAATTGGCATGGATGGTGCATATGCAGACTCAGCAAAGACATGGGTAAAAGCCAGACTTAGAAGAAAAGTAAGGAAAAGCATTTTACTCATGCTTCTTTCAAAGATGAGTTTTAGCTTACTTTGCAAAGAGTATTGAAAAAAATCACAGTACCACACTGTGTCTTTCAGCAGCGATTTTAGAAAGGTCCCTTTTCCCTTCCATCAGTTATTAAACGCAAAGCACTCTAGTTGAGAGGCAGCCAATTCTCACTTGCCATGATGTAAAGTCCTTAATTTTTCCTTTTGCTCAAACGACCTTGGAAAAAGCAAATATCCACTTTGAGTATCAGTTGCCTTCTTAAAAGATGCAGTGCTGAAAGCTTAGAGTCCAGGTTTGTGGTAATAGACAAATGAGATATAGATGAGATGGACACTGTTTATTGGAAAAGACATTCTTATAATGAGATCATGTCATTCCCCTGTTTAAAATCTTCCAAAGTCTCCCCATTGCCCTCAGAATAAAATTCAGCTCTT